ATGAAAGCGTTACATAACATAGAAAATATGTATATGAATATATTGGTATATCAATATCAGCAATACAAATTATTGGGCGTTTGGACTTCTCCAAATTTTTTAGTTGCTGGATGTCGTTGTAGTTGTTTGTTATTAAGCACAAAGTTACACAAAGTGCTATCTGTGCTCTGCCCACCACGGGTATCGAAAATCGGTTTTTTGCGGTATAAGTTCGCAGACATATGCTGGTTGTCTCTAGCTAGCCTCCCAGTGGCACAGTGGTGAGTCTGCGGACTTACAACGCTAGAAACCGTGTTTCGATACCTGCGGTGGACAGAGTACAAATAGCCCATTGTATAGCTTTGTGCTTAACTTCAAGCAAACAAACAAACTAAAAACAAAATGTGTCAAAAATATAATTCTAAAGTAGAAAGATGATTTTATGCTCCGTTTACTGTAAATGTCAAAATTAACATAACTGTTACATAATCTTATATATATATACATACATATAAATGCTAGAAAATTATGTTGTTTGTCCAACTATTTATGAACTTGCTAATTACAAAATGTAAACATAGAAGTTATGAAACCTATAAAGATTTCTTGAAATCACATTAAAACTACATTTGAAGCCTCAGAGATTGAAGAAAAATCCGGCAAATGACGAAAGAACTAGCAGAAAGACCGATTTTAAAGAGCCAATTATATGCCCAGTGCTCTCGTCCCGATTAGACGTAGCAGCTGCTTTTATTTTTCTACACTGTTGGCAATCTAGTTATTTGTTTTTTAATTAATTTTACTTTTCTTCTTTTATATAAATTAGTTATGAAAACAACTTTCAAGTGGTTTAGTGAAACGATTAACAATGTCACCTAACTGATAAAATATATTTAGACCAATGGCGTTATCATGAAAAAATTATCTGCATTATTTTCTTTTTTTTTCACAAAATTACTGGGATAATTAGAAAACATCAATGAAACAAATAAAACACCTCTTTTTCCTGCACAACCAAACTTCAATTACGACTTGAAAGTACTCTTCATGTTGTTGTAATTAGTGTAAACTACACTCTGTTCACCGCGAGGAATCGAACTCCGAATTTTAGCACTGTAAATACATAAACTTACCGCAGACCCACTGGAAGACTACTTTGATGTGTCAGCAGTATTTTACTATGATCTTCAGGAGTGATTTTTACACAGAAGACAACAGTGAGAAATTTATAGAAGAAGGGGGCTGTTTTATTACATGGGTGGGAGGGCGGAATATGATTACATTTTAAATATACTTAAAATGTCAGTCCATAACTGTGTGCCTCCCAGTAGCACAGCGGTATGTCTGCGGACTTACAACGCTAGAAACCGGGTTTCGATACCCGTGGTGGGCAGAGCACAGATAGCCCATTGTGTAGCTTTGTGCTTAACTTCAAACAAACGAACCATAACTGTGCATTTCTTCTTGCTGGTAACTCCTCTCTGTTTTATTTCGTGTATTTCAGTATATCACACATAATTTCAATAGCTACTCGAACATTAAATTATATTTCCATACTAGGTTTATTCAAACGTTTGGCTTGATTCCATGGAATGGAATGGCCCGTTTCTATATCGTACTCTAGGAGGCGATAATTGGATGTCTTCTTGTTGCATATATAGTTATTTGTTAGATTTCGCGCAAAGCTTCACTAGGGTTATTTGCGTCAGCCGTTCCTAATTTTGAAATGATAGACTAGAAAACATCACCCACTACCAACTCTTGGAGTGCTCTTGTACATATATTAGTATAACTATGTTTTTGAGGCTTTCTTATTATACACTCTACAGTATCGTATACGTGATTTAATACAATTATATTATTTTTCTAATGAATCGTTCTGTCATTTCGACCTTGAACTATGGAAAGCAGAACAAAATAAAAGATCTTGGATAAAAAATGTATATACGAAATTATATGGAGTGTAACAAAAAATATGAAAGTCAAACTAAACGCATTTTAAAATACTGCTCCCCGCAGAAAAAAGAACAAAGAACAAAACTGTGCACCGTGGATGCGTTATAAGATTGATAGTCAAATACTACTATTCGGCCGGACAAGAGTGGGTAATGTTGACCAGCTTCCTTCCCTTTAGCTTATCTTTTCAAAATTGGGGATAGCTGTGCTGAGAAAATTTGGAAACCCTTGGATTGGATCTTCAAAAACAACCGTAAAATAGGTGTCTGAATTCTTTTAAGTCCAGAGCTATTTACATTGCAGCGTTTCCTGCTCTATTTTGCCCTTTAATTCCTATGCACAACGTAAATTTTAAAACGTAAAAGGCTACGTGACCAGTTGTAAACTCGTAGGTTTTAGTACCTTTGTGACGTGCGCTAACATCTCTTTGTATATTTTGCTAGTTTATTTTTGTATTACCGACGTTAGATGGTTGAAGCAAGTTTCAGTTTAATTTTCAAGTCTATCGGTGGATGCTGGGAAGCCTTAAATGCGATTTGGCCGTGTGTGCTTATTTTTTGTTTCAGACATATGTTGCACACGTAACAGTAAAGTGTTGCTTCCATGATCACGAGCTTCTGTCTGCAAAACAAGATTTCAAATAAAATTCATTGTTACTGGTGAAGGGTTTGTTTGTTTTATTTTTAACACAAAGCCTCTATACTTGGTCCACCGCACGTATCGAACTCCGATTTTTAGTGTTTTAAGCCCTGAGAGTTACCGCTGAGCGTTCGAGTGGCATGGTGAAGAGAATATAGTGTTATCTAACCGATAAAAGATATTCAGAGCAATGGAATTGTCTCAGAAAAAATTATATACATGAAATAAATCATATTTTTTACAAAAGTACTGGATTAATCAGCATTAATCTTATAATTTTCATAAAAATTTATATTTTTAAAAATTCTAAAACAAGCAATGTCAAACCAAACTTTCACTTCAAAAAGGGCATAAACCAAAATGTATAACTTCCCTTAATCTCCAACCTTTTCCTGATCTTGTTCCTAGCAAGTCTTTTATTTACACGCATCCCGCTGAGTTACCAGTAGTTTATGTTCTAACACGTGACAACGCTTATGCCTTGCTGTTGTGGTTCTAAGGTTTCATGGTTTACGCCCTTTAATTTACTACATATATAAAAACAAAAACGTCTGCCCCTTTTTATGTCCGTGGGCGCGTTGTAACAGTGACGATCAAATCCCATTACTTGGCATGACAAGAGTAACCCCAAAGTTGGGATTGATAGTGTTGACTATCTACCTTCCCTTCAGTCTATCACTAAAAGATTAGGGACAGTAAGCGAATGAGATAGATCTTGGATAGTTTTGCGCGAAATTCAGCAAAACAAACGGACGAAAAACATTTTTACGAAAAAAAAAATTAAATTTAATTTGATCAGATATGCAGAAAAAGTTTTTGTCATTTAGGAATTGGGCAGGGCGTGGTCGAGTGATAAGTGTACACGGGCTGTGAAGCCGAAGCTTTTTATGTTCGCGTCCCGTTGTCGCTAAAATACGATTCACACTTTGGGGCCCTAGGTGCGCTATAAGAGTGACGGTCAGATAAGAGTAGCCCAAACGTTTGTGGCGAGTGCTGTTGACTAGCTGTCTTCCCACTAGTCTATCAGTTCGAAACTGGGTATGGCTATGCGTAGATAGCCCTTGTGTACCTTTGTCCGAAATGTCTGAAACACATAAACACTTAGGAATCAATCGATAGAGTGTTTTTGATTAATATCTCACCAAACAAACAAAAAGATAACAATGCACTCAAATCTTTTATACAAATAGGGGTCATACAATAAGTACAACCTTACCTATTAGATGTATTTGTCTCCACTTCACTATGAAGGTTTAATTTTTTTGTGTTTACTAAAAACGAATACATATACGCAATAAAAGTTATAAGCAGCAGATTATGATTCAAAGTATTGGTACTTGAAGCCTCAACATTTACAACATTTGACATAAACTTGAACTTTCTCCTAAACCCGACCGTTAATGGTTGCATTTTGGATAATGCCACTAATGTTGACTGAAAATTATTTCTTCATCAAAATCACTGAGAATGTATTAAATTACATTGACCCGTCATTCTATTTGTTTGATTTTTTTTTAGCCTTGACTTATTTTAGCTGTCTAGTCTTCCAGAATACTAAACGATTTTTCCAAAAGTACTCTACTTTCAAACTATTGGGGCTATTTTTAAATCTTGGATAAAATTGTAACAATATGTTACACATAGAAGGCTCTGGAACGACTTTACTTAAAAACCTCGTGTATAAAAAGTAGAATAAGTTTTTATTGAATTAATTTTCGGGTAAAGCTATGTCTAAGTTTAGCAAGACAAGAGGCTTGTGCTGCATCCAGAAAAGTACATCAAAGCGACGCCTATCAGAAGTAAAGTAATTCATTCTGATTCTAATGTAAACAATAAGTAAGTGTTTGAATCGAAGCTGAAGACGTTACACGTGTACCGGGATATTTTGAGTTGTCGGAAAGTGAACTCGGCTGTCGCTAAAATTGTCTCATTTTCTTACTCCTATATTGAGAACTTCTGAGAACATTCCTGAGCAGAATCTATAAAGCATGTTATGGGCCAGGAAAGGCAGCACGTTAGCTTTCCGACGAGTCGAAGACGGGGTCATAAGCACCTGTCACTAAATGGAAAGACGCCGCTGAACGAGCATAAGAGCTTACAGAAACCTGATATATGTGTTTGCTTCGTTTGTTTTGTTTATTATCTGGCAAGACAGTTCACAACGGAGAGAAATTTAGCCACGTTGTTATTTTATGATAAAATTGGGACCTATGTGTCGAAGTGGTAAATATATTTCGTTTGGTGTTATCAACATAAGTTACAACGGTTGATCAAGAAATCGGGCTTAGGTTATGGATGTAACTCCTCACCCAACGCAACGATCAGATAACACTGGTGCCAGGCAACGTCTGTATAGGCAGCCATCTAATGTTTCCAACTTCAGCTGGTCAGGTGTATACGTGCCTAAAGTGTGGGTGGTCAACCCCATGCACATTGTCACCTTAACAAAAACTAAAGAATCTTGCATCGTACGATATGCTGAGAAAATAAAATCTGTGTCTGAAAAGTGGTTCACGCACGTGTTGTTGTTGCTCTTCCTTCTCGGATACGCAGCTCTAGGGGCTGTAATTTTTCAATGGATTGAAGGATCAGTAGAGTATCAGGAAAAGGTAAGCATTGAAAATATGCGGATATTAATTATCAATGACCTCTGGGCTTTGTACAAGAAACATAACAAAGAGGAGGACTGGCGGGAACACGCGATGTGGCGACTTGCAGAGTACGAACAGCAGGTGTTTCAATCCTTCAACAGTAGTACAAAAAAAGATTCCTTGAACAGACAATGGACATTCTTAGGAGCAATGTTCTACTGCGGAACTGTTTTTACTACTATAGGTAAGCTTTAGACTCTAGGCCTAGACTGTAAACGTAAGCCTTGTAATAAACTACCATCAGAGGTTTATCATTGTTGTCACTACAACAAGTCTTTCAGTGAAACTAACAACATGACTGATTTTTTGAGGTTGTTACTATCCGAAACAACTTTTTGTAATAATAGTGTAATCCCCAACTTCAGTTGTTCTGGGTTATTACCATTTTAGTTAAACCTTAAATTGGACCTACCGCATCAGGTCTCTTCATACAGATTTAAATTATCACTATAGAACTAAGTCTAATAATGTGTTTTTGTTCACTGTTATCACTGTAGCTGTACCCTAGTTTTGACCTTTCACTAGAAGTTTCATACTAAGAAGAACTTTCACATGGTTAGATTAGATTTACCACTATAGCAATAAGCTCTACAAGAAAAGATGGATCTTAAATTTGACATACCTCAAGAAGTATTTCAATGTCTCCACTGACAGAAGAACTTTCACATGGTTAGATTAGATTTACCACTATAGCAATAAGCTCTACAAGAAAAGATGGATCTTAAATTTGACATACCTTTCAATGTCTCCACTGACAGAAGTACTTTCACATAGAAAGATTCGAATTACTAATGTAGAAGTAAATTTTCTAATGTTTTTACTTCACAGTTACCACTATAGGTTAATATTACATTTTACGTATCACTAAACATTTCTCAATGTATGCACGTGCCGAAAACCTTGTTACCTGCTGTTTGTCTGTGGGTGAGCTATAGATCTGATCTACCACTAGAACCATGTCAATATTTCTAG